GGTATTATGCTATCAAATATGATGTACAAGTTAAAATAATCTGGCAGTTTACAGAATGCCTCTAAGACTGAGATAAGTATTTTTCAAAATTCTTATTCTATCTGTAGACCCATGGAGATGGAAGAAACTCAGTAGTTGCATTGCATCCCTCACTAGTAGTAGTCCTGCAGTATATTTTTCCATGAGGTTCGGTGGGTTTTTTGAGGGGGTGTTGATTGGTTGGGTTTTTTTGTTTGGGTTGGGGTTTTTTTATATAGAGTAAGTCTGGGTAGAAACTAAAAGCCTTTTGCTCTCTCAGTGAAGAATATTGAGTTGTTTTTCCAGCAGTTTTCTTTCAGGATCTTCTATTGCTTCTCTCCCACATCTTCCCTCTAGAGTTATCGAAGCCTTTCATTGAGACAGTACTTTATCTCCCAACCCTATATTAGGATGTATCAGTCTTCTCTACACGCCTTGCCTTGATGTCTAAAGCTGTTTTATTTGATCTTGTCTAGAGCTGCACAGACTATTTTTTTGTTTCAAAACCAGAACATTCTTGCAAATTACTTGTCTGTTTTCTCAAAACATCTCACTTTGAAGACTCCTCTCGAAGCATGGAGTTGGAAAGTCTGGGAACTCTTGCCCTACTCAGGGATTTCAGGATCTCCAGGCTTCCTCCTGTATGGGCAGAATTTGGAGTTCTGAGTTGTACAGGAGGCCCCTAGGCTGTGTGGCCACCAGTGGTCTCCCTGGTGGGGCTGGCAACCCTACGGCTGGCTGTGGAGCCTCTGCCTGAACACACAGAGTTTTGTCTTGAGTGTGTATAGAAAGATGAGCTTCTGGCTAAGGGAATGACTTCTTAGGGCACAAAGTTTCCATTGCCTTTAGAGGTGATTTGCCAATGTAATAAATCTCTCTGATTTGTATTAGACATTTATTCTTTTAACAGTCTCATTTCATAAATCATATATATAGCCATGACTTCAACTCCCAGCTGGATAAAACCAGAATAAGGCTTTCCTTCATTTTTTACGTTTCTATACTCAGATTTTTGTACTGAACTGAGTAACTCCTACTAAGCAGTATTTATTTGTAGCTGCTTACTGAACAAAACAGTAAATATGTATACTTCACTTTTCAAGATAAAACATGTTGGTACTTGTGCAAATTGAAATATATATTTGAAAATCTATAGCATGTATACCAAGAATATTATTTCTGTTCTAGTATTCCAGTTTCATGCATAAAAGACTATTGGGTTGGGATTCTGGATGTTTACCAGCAGATGACATTGATTCTAAGTGTAACTTGACTAATTATGGAGGGAAATAATAAAATACACAGATGTAGAAGTATTGTTGCATGTCTAATTGTGTCATGTGGGCTTAATCTAGTTTCATTACACAGCCCATTGATACACAAGTCCTGCAATAAGATCGGTTGTTTCCAATAGGTGTAGCATGCTAACAGCTGTAACAGTCTTTCTTTAATGGTACTGCATTATGTGAAGATCTGTTATGTTCACTGCAATGCTAAAAAGAAAAAAGTATCAGAAATAAATCACTATAATTATTGTGGTCAATGCATTACCTCTTTAAATTCATGTTCAGAAGCTACCTTTCTGAAAAACTCCTACAGGAAATCCTAATACATGTTTTTGGTTTTATGATCAGAGCTAGAATAAAGCTGTTTCACTGAAAATTGTGCAGAAGGCCTTCCAGGGGAAATGCTAATGCCAAGCTCATCCCCCATGAGAAAGAACATCAGCTAGCTTTTTGGTGAAATGATTTCACCCACGTTCAAACACATATTAAAGTTGCAAAACCCATGACAACATGTTTAAAGATTCTTTCAAAAAATACAGTGGTGTGGTTGGGTTGCTGTGTTTCGGTTTGGCTGTGATTTCCAGGCATCCATGTTTGAACATAGGCCAGTATGGACCCATCTGGCATAGTGATTATAGATAGGACCTTGCAAGGAGACTGACTCTGAAAGGAATGGTTGGTGAGATGACATAATGTTGTGATCTGATCTCTGCAGCTCAGATCCAACTGACCTAGTCAAGGAATGCTGCTGCTTCCTTCAACCACATGCACTCAGATTTCTATCTCAAAGAAACTAAGTTCTAGGAAAGAAGGGGTCCTTGAGCACACCTCTGACAACTTAAAATGACTGAGGGTGCACTCCCTGGAGCTGTAGGTTCAGCTGATGTCAAGTGCCTTCAGTGTTTGTGTCTTAAGGCTTTATGTTTTTCTTTTCCACTTCACTCAGTTGCGAAGTGTGTTCTTTACAACTATGGCTATTGGTAGGCAACCTATGAAGGTCAAGACTTGGCTCTTCCACACATATAGTGATATACAGCAGTGACCTGGCTTCATTTGGTTTCTCATATTTCTAGACCTGGTCTGTCTTTGAGAGACACCTATTGCTTTTCAGGTTCCTTAATTCCTCCATATAATTTTTAAGTCATCCCTCTACAGAAACTGACTTTCTCTGTTTTTTGATGCTATGGAGATGCTTTGTCTATGCCACAAGAAAGTAGAGGTCTGTCTGTACCACTTTCCCAGTTCCTCTGCAGAAAATTTGAAAGCTCAAAGGAGCTGCTAATTTCTTTTTATTTAGACTTCACAAAATACTATTTTTATGATCACTGATTATTCTTCAAATTAGATTGAAGAGCTTTTTTGGCAAGTGTGACTAATAATAAATTTTAGTGATAATTAACATGTATCTAGAAATTACATTTGAATTTCAAGGAACCTTTTTCCAGGATAGTGCCTGTGCATTTTTATTTCCATAATATTTATGCTTTCTGATGTGATTCTGTCCTTTTGTACTTTTTTTTCTTTTTTTTTTTTGCCTCTGGCTTTTTTTCCTCTCTTGTACAATGTGTATATTTTCCCAAATGGGTCTCAAACAGCATTTTTTATTATACTGACAAGAACAGCAACACCTCTGTAGATTGTCCTACAGCAAAGGCATGACAGAATAAATGATCATAAATAAATTATCTTACATGATTTCTGTGTTTCCAGTCCTTCAGTTCCTCTCTCCAGTGGGCAAGTGCTCTGGCAAACTACTGCCTTGCATGGCATTTGAGACCTAAAACAGATGCTGACAGAACAGATGTGATTTTTCTTTTGCCTGCCATATCTTGGGATTTGAATACAAATCCCAAGTGTATGAAAGAATAGGCACAGGAAGCCACCAAGGATTGATAGACCGCACGTTGCTCGAATTTCGTTAAGTTATGCATCATCAGCTGCTTATTCTAAGTGTTCAAAGTGCTCTTGGGAGGGGTCACTTTTTTTAGTCACAGAATTCAGATACTACATGTGGCTTGTAGAAAAACACTAAGCTGCAGTTGGATGGCCTAAAGTCTCCGTATCTCAGTTTCCTATGTATAAAGTAGGAGTAAATAAGTTCATTTGCTCTATACTTTTTATGGTGTAATTTATACTGGCAGTCTTTGGGACCTAAAGTTCAGTTGAAGCCTTTGCTACCGTTCTAGATATGTTCTCACAAAAAGTCGCATTAGCTGGTGATGGAGAGTGATGCCTACTAACGTATATAGCTGTTTACTGCATCACATCACCTTTCTTTTGTGCACACATTCATGGTCACTTCATTTGAAAGATCTGGAACAGAGGAATATCTGATGCCATGTGTCATGTCTGTGTCCTGTTACATGTTTACAATTTCCTATCTCATACGACTCATAGGACAGCTTCTGGTGCTGTTGAATACAAAGGGCTACATGACAGTGCATCGCTGTAAAGCACCTGAAGATGTGCTCACAACTGCCCAAGAGTAAGGGTAGTGCAAAAGATAAGCACATAGATCAAGCAGAGACATGCAAGGAGAAAATCTGATGGATGGATGGATAAGTCTTTGGTGGTGTTTTTATCTTAATTGATCATGTTTTGGAAATCAGGATTTTTATAGAGGTTTTTGAAAGGAAGTGTGTCTGTTAATGTAATTTTGATTGTTCACACTAACTTATAAAATTCTTAAAATAGAGAAAGGATTTACATAGTACATGTGTACATGGATCTTGCCTACAAAGCTAAGTGGTGAGGCAGATAATACTGGCACACATGAAGACCTAGAGGTAGAAATTGTTAGCACCTGACTGATGTTACTAGATTTACAGTTCTCCAAACTGGTGAAATAATTCTGCATGTGCAACATTAACTGAAATATGTAACCAATCAGCAAATAATTCATGCTTTATTCTATAAAAATAGAAATATTTATATTGAAATATCCTACTGGAATGAAGGAGGCCAAAGATCATAAATTGCGATTTTCAGCTACTAGACAGCTATTCCCTGGGGTTTATGTCAGGTCAGCAATATGCCAGTGCTGTACAAAATAACTGCCTAAGTGGAAGGAAACATGGGTGACAAATATGGTATTTAACTGAGCTTGTTATTATGGAGGTCACAGTCCTTGGCTGATGGGAGATATAGACCTTGTCAGAAGTGCCAGCAGTATATCTAGTAAGGGACTGTATTAAATAAGCATCAATGAAAAGTGTGCTCATAGAGAAAAGTTTTGCCTTTTTTATTGCTGAAATAAAGTGGGTAATATTTATTAAAAGGTACTGTTTGATCTCTTCGGCACCATCTGTCCAGCGGTTAAGGTCTAAAAGTATTTTGGAGTATTTCTGAATTTTCAGAATTTCAGGCAGTTTAGTAGAAACATTCTTACTAAAGTCGTTCATTGTGTGGAAGCTGTTGTATGGGTTCATTGCTCTGTTACCTGCTTGCCATCACTGGAAGGATGTAAAACAGGAGATGCAGTGGCTTGAAAGAGATATGTGTCATTTCTCTAAAGTATAATTTTGACAAATCATGTTTTACTGGCTCAGAAGTCCCTGCATACCCCTGAGCAGGGAGCTGTAGAGCAGCGCCTAGTCACTGAGGTGTGCAACACAGAGCATGCTCATCTTTGTAAGTGAAACAGCTGTTGACAGAGGAAGTTTACTAAAACCACCGACTTGTTGGACCCTGTTTCAGGTGGGATTCCGTTTGTCCTCACTGGAGAGTTTTTCCAGCAGTCACAGAGGCCGGCCGCATTCATGATAGCTGGGACAGTCAACTGGCTCTCCAACTTCGCCGTTGGACTGCTCTTCCCTTTCATTCAGGTACTCAACATTCTTGATAATCGATATACTATGATGTAGTTGGTATAATGTGACATACGATGTTTGAATAAAAAATTCAGGTAATACTAAATGTCTTTTTATTGAAGTAGATGAAATTACCATCACCAGTTCAGTTGTGCTACCCACATGTCTCCTTGTTTGGATCTCTCGGCAAAAATTGTGCTGCAGGAGAGAAATGACTGTAACCATGGACAACCCTATAGGGCAAATTCCCCATGGGAGTGCTTTAGCAACGCAGTCTGATGGCTGTATCTGGAGTTTATAGTCACTGATGGTGATTGTCACTGCCTTTTTTCAGCCTTCAGGCTACCCATCTTCTGATTCACCCTTTTTTTTGAGAATCCTTACTAGTCTCATTGGGGGATAGGTGCTCTGTGCACCTTCATCTAAGCTTGGCTTCATGGCTCTTTTTTTTTCGGTCCCTTCTGTCAGGCTTTTATCATCTTCAGCTGTTCCTTCTCGCTGCAGCCTAGTTGTGCATGGATGAATTTGTTCCTGTCCCAGCCTTCCCCAGGCTCCCATAGGCTTTGCTGTTAGTGGATTGCTTTGTTTGCTTGGCTGAACTAGTTGCATGGAGGACAGAGGCCAGTTTCATCAAGAGCTGTCTGATAATGGCTTGTTTTATTTTAACAAGATAAGTTTATTTTCTTTAAAAAAAAAAAAAATTTGAAAATAAATTTCAAAGTTCAACATCTCTGATTCCTAAGAACACTTCATCACTGTTGATCTGTTGTTGTATGGCAAAGAGGCTTCAAGCAGCTTCTCATTCAAAGCTACACTGAGGTCCTTTTCCTGACAATGAACCTCTCCCAGCGACCGTCTGCAGTCTCTGGAGCTCACACAGGAGCTGATTCTCTGTCTCAGGAAATGAAGGACAGCTGATCAGTCCCCTGACTGACCATGTCCAAACTCTTTAAGAATGAAGCTTACAACTACACGACAAAATAAAGAAGCCCTAACTGTTTTGGGTTTTTTAAATGCACAGAGGAAGATACTAGGGACAAGGGAAAGGCACGGGGGAGCAGGTTCTCACACCCAGGAGAGAGATTTTTGGATTATTCTTCAAATCATTGCAGAGTAAAAGATTTGAATAACAGGCAATGAGGTGTTACTGCTGTTTGTGCCTTCTTACAACTTAAATTTTTATGATACTTCAGTACCGTATGCATAACAGTATTTGCAGATACTGTAAAATTATATGATATTGTAAGACTTCATATATTCATTTTCATTTGACAAGTAGAACTGCTTTTACTAAGTAGTACTGTTTAAAATTACCTGTATGAGATAGTTTATAGGAGAACTTGAAAGCCTTATAAAGTCTGACCCTTGATTTAAGTTTGACACTTAATTTAAAATTCTAAAATGAAAAAATCTCTAGTAGTTTTGATTGCTTGGATCACCTTCAAAAATCAAAAGCTGTCATTCTTCCAAACTGCACTTCCACTAACTTCAATTAGACTGCTCAGAGCTATAAGTCTTAAGAGCTTATTTTAATCCTTACTGAAATTAATGTGCGTTTTTCACCAGTTTCATGATGAAGGACTTGCCAGCTTAGACATTTAAGGTGAGATTTTCAAAAGCAGGTAGAGACATAATTCTTTCTCCACTGAGGTCATATTAGAACATCTACCAAATGATGGAAAGAATTAGCCAATTCCCTTGTGTTTTCCAAAGCCTAACCTTAGTCATCAGCATTAGTATGGTCCAGGAGGCAGCCATGAGTTCATCCAGCAAGCAGATGCTTCTGTGGAATTTAATAGCTATTTCTCCAAGAAGATGGGCACTGACTGTTTAAGCAGTATTAAACATTGCCTTCCACTGTGGCTGGCCAGGCAGTAGCAGTCCCACCACCTTCCTCTGTGGCAGCTGGGCAGGTGGCAGGGAACAAGGTCTCAAATCTAGAGGTGTAAAATCAGAATACTTTTATTTGTTACATTTTTAAATTATCCAAAGACATTTAAGGGAATAATCATGTTTCTCAAAAATAGCAGTATCTGCCTCCTGCACAAAACTGGGGAGTTACTCAGCTCTGGCTGTCCATCAGATCTGAATTCATGCAACTCAGGGCTCTCCTTTTCTTGTCCTACCTGACAGATCACCTGGTTGAACTGTTTAAAAAGGTCCTCGGTTAATTCAAACAAAAATTCAAACTACATTCTCTAACTTTTTGTATGCATATTAAAGCTTTTTGAGTGATTTAGTATGCATCCATATGAAGTTTGCTGTAGCCTTGGGGCATCTATAATTTTGTGTCATAAAAGTTTCCCATTGTGTGATTACAAAATTACCAGTTTATTTTCAATGAAGGTAAATTATATTTCCACCTTGAAGGACTTCGAGTTTTCTCTTCTTTAAAAAGTAACAAAGTCTTAGAGTTTGCACCTAGAGATGAAAGCAGTGTTACTCAGACTTTGATTTTTAAAGCTTTTTCACAAGATCAAACTATAACATCTCCTCTTTCCCTAACTTTCACTTCTTTCATATTTCAGTCAACCTTATTCTCAAAATTCAGTTTGTGAGTCACCTGTTCCTTTATAGAAAAGCAATAGCCTCTTCTTAGCTCATTTTTAGAAGTCTAAAATAGGAAAAAAATCTTTAAAATGCCTTCACAGAACGAATGCCAAATCCCTTCTGTGTATCTAAATACTAACCTGATAGCTTGAGAAACAGAGGGCACTTTTTTGCTTCTACAAAATTATCCCAAACATTTGGGAAACAAATATGTTAACTTTAGAGTTACTCAAAAAATCAACCAGTAATTCGTTCTCCAAATGTCACCAATTAACTAGTTTGAATGCCTGTATTTTCTCCCCTCAACCATCTGTAGATAACATATAATAGAATAAAATACAGGCTTGAGTCATACATTAAAATGTATGGATGAGATTGAAAAGCTAGTATACAAATCAAGCTTTGACACATTAAAAAAAAAAAAAATGGCTTCTGTTCCAGGCCTCATCACTGCCTATTTGAGAAATTAATTCGTGTGAAGGATCGGAACTAAGGTTAAAATGGCAACCGATACTATATGGAATTCAAAAGTACATTTCAAGTTGTGTGATTACTAGGACGTGTCTGATTGTAGGTGTGGGAAAAAAAAGATTTTTAAAAATCTTTTTTACTGCAAAATAGAGTAAATGAAGAAGTAATATTGCACGTGATCTTGGAACATACAGAGAAATTATAAAAGATCTTGTTTTAGGTCTGAAGGCATTTCAGACTTGTGTTTAACGTAGAGCTTGAGCTTGTGAAATGTCAAACATGTCACCTTGAGTGGTCCTCAACAGTGTCTCTTTCCCATTGTTGTCACTTGAAAATAAAGGCACAAGGCTTTTCTGAACAAGGAGATGTTAAGAGACAAAGACAGCTTTGATAAGCTGATAGATCAGAGGTGCATGAAACAGTTCATGAAGATTTGGTGACCCCTCCATTCAAAGAATTTCAGTGCTTCTATAGGTGCTAAAGCAAGGTTGCAATGCTCTGTTATTTGGGTGCCAAATCTCCAAATTTTCATTCCCTCGAAATACCCATTCATGTGTTTGGAGTAACTGAGTAAGCACTTCAGCCCTCTGCCCTCTCCTCTAACTGGCATATCTCATGGTTTTGCATGACACTTGCATGTCAGAAGTTCATAACAGTCCATAAGAAACCTTCTGCTTCACACCCTGTGAGCAGTGGTGCTGGGAGTATCTCTTCAGAATTGAGCCATTGAATCAACCATGTCACGGTAAAGAAGTAATTTACCCATTTGGGGAAGTCACAAATAGTGCTTGTGTGACAATGAAGGAATTAAAATGCTGTATCTGAAATAATCGCAATTTTAACACTTTTCATTCTCCCTTTCCATTATATACTCTATACTATACACTTTATACTATTGATGCACTGTGATTGGAATTGAATCTCAAATTTTTGCGAGCTAACCAAAATGAGTTTGCCATTTAGAAAGGTTCAAAGTTTGTCTGAGCTGATGAAAAGCTTATTGAATATATTGTTGTATCTAAATAGGTATGTTGTGTCCTTGTTCTTAGAGAGCCTTATACAAATGCTTAATCCCAGCATTTGATTTAAAGGCAGCTTGCATTCATAAAGCTATCAGTGTGCATCCATCTGCCTTTGAAAGATCTGAACCTAAAATATCCAATACTGGCTGGTCAACTCATGTCTGTTTTCTGGTGTTTGTTACACTTCTCATTGTTTCAATATGTAGGGGTGAAAATAATAGCATTTTGCTTGTGCGTGTCTAATTTTATCACTTTCCTAAAAGATTTATAAACCTTTTCTTTAAAAGTTTACATAAATGACTCTAAAAAAAAAAAAAAGAAAAGAAAAGAAAAGAAAAGAAAAGAAAAAAAGAAAAACAAATACATGGTTTTGCAGTGTGTTCCTCCACGTAAATGAAATTGCTACACTAGACACCACACTATACACACTATATGGCCGAAAGTTTTAAAGATAGATTCCTGTAAATTCTTAATCCAAATTACAAAATTTATCTGATTTTCAGCTATGTTGCTGAAATTTCAGCAGAAATGCTCCAGATTCAACATCTCACAGTAAACCTTTAATAGCTGGCTGGGTGAAGACCCAACTCAGCTAAACTCCCTCAAACACCAAATATTTCTCCCTTGTTTGCTTTCTGTGATGATTCAGTTGCTATAGATAATTCAGGGCAGCAGCAGGGCTTTTCTCACAATCATAATAAATAATATTGATTCTTACTTCAGCCCTATATTGCAGTTTTGATGCACAGTGTTACAAATCATCCATTATTACTTTTGTGACTAATATCCTCTGGAAAATGTTTTAAAGCACTTTCTTGCTGAGAAGGCATATAAAACCACAACTGGTCTTTTTGATATGTTCATAACATATCAGAATTTGAAAATATGACTCTTTAATATATTAAATTATTTTAGAAAATGAAAAAGAGATCAAGTCTTCCAAAGGCTAGCAGTTCTCCTGAGACCTCCAAA